TTTCAAATGCATGGGGCGGGGTGGGGATTCAGCTCTGAATTTCCAGAGGGGGAAGACTGCAAAAGCTTCGCTTGAAACTTTTCCAGTTTGTAAATCAAGCATGAACCAACAGCAGAAGCAGGATAAAGATTGATCAGGCGGGTGTTAGCAAACACACGGATTAGTGAGCGGATGGTTTGTGCAGCGAGCTCCACATTGAAGAGGCCTTAAAGTTGAAAAAAGTAGTCAATAGATTAATAAAATATAAAACAAGTCTGTGTTTCTTTCCGATCTAAGATTGTCAACGACCTTGTTGAATTGCGTGTGAAAACCCTGCACCAGTCTCTCTTTTCCAAATGGAATGCCTGACAGATTTGTAGGTTGCATTACTAGTGGTCAGTGCAGTTACTCAATGAACGAAATTTACAATATTGCGGGCGACGGGATATCGTGAACTTTACTTTTGTCTTCCACTGGCATCAATATGATCATACTCTCCTGAAAATATGAAGCTAATGAACTGAAAACAAAGTTTGCTTTGGTGGTAAGCAACTTAAAGATAACACTTAGGGGAGAAAACTATGGTGTACTTTATTAACTGTTCATAACAAACTTAAGTTGCTTGTTTGCTTGACCAAAAATTGTGAGCAGAATTTTCTTGGAGTGGGGAGAAAGCACAAGTTTCCCATTCGTTAGAAGTTTTAGGTAGTCAAACGGATTGCCAAAGGGTCTGAAAAAAGAAATCAGAAATTCCGGAGGGGAGGAGGGGTTAATGATTTTGGAATCAGAAGGCATGGCGGGGTTAAGAGCATTTTGGAATTTCCAAAGNACTCCCCCGGCCCTCCCTCCCCAGGATGGAATGCTAGTCCATCGCAGGGTTACCCCCAGCATTAAATTCGCCGGTCCCCACCTGGGTGGAGTGGGGCACTGTGAGAGTAAAAGTGTCTTGGCCATTTAGGGAAACAACACAATGACCCTGATTAGGGCTTGAACTCGGACTGCTTGATCTGGAGTCCTGCACTGTTATATAAATCTTCATAATATCATAACACTTTTTAGACCACGCCATAGAAAATACTGCCAATCAGGATCAAGTTTGGAGAGCCATTGTATACCGTTTGACAGTGTAATTTAAATCCAACCTTCCTGTCAAGTGCTGCACATATATTTTGTAATGATTGTGTAATGGGTACTATATTTCCTATGGCATGGTATAAAATAGTTATGGAACACTCTCTCATGGTAATTTCCATGGAATATATCCCACTTGTCACTCAGCAGGGGTAATTTGCAGAACATCAAACCCCGAATGCCGAATGCACTGTTTGCTTGCAGTTAGTTTCACTTATATTTGCTTGCGGTTAGCTTTTATTTGTTGGACAGGACCATATGCAATATAATGCTGTCCTTAACAAACAAAAGCTAACCGCAAGCAAACATGAGTGAAACTACTAAACCAGAAACATTTGGCATTCGGCATTCTGCAAAATACCCCTGCTGCTTGTCACTTGTATTTCTTGCTATCAGCACACTCACCTAAAGGCTTGTGCATATACTGAGAAATTACAAGTGACTAGTGGGATATTCAACAGATACCACTCTAAAGCATTGCATAACTAGTATATATCAAAAATTATAACATAGAGAGGACCCTGCGTGCTCTGATTGGTCAAAAACCCATGTTTTATCGGAGTACAAAACATAAAGAACACTCGAGAAATGTTGAAAGCACTCGCCTGTGGCTCATGTTTTCTACATTTCCCTCGTGTTCTCAAATGCCCATTGTGTCTTATCACAGTGTAATACACAGCTTAGGCTTCTTTATTTGTTAATTACAATGGCGCTGTATAAAACGTAAAAAAACTTAAAGCGTGGATGACATGAAAAATAATTTCTGTCTATTTGAAAGGCCTTTCAAAATACTGAAGAATGGTGTTTTTCTTTTTGAAATATGGTTTTTCATTTTAGAGATATTGAAATTTTTCTATTATGTAAATTAGATCAGTGATGACGTCATAAGGTTTGCAACTATGAAGTGGTGAAATACTGAATAAACGATATCTCTGAAAATATTGAAGCAGTGTTCTTGAAACTTGGCACCACAAATGTGCATCACAAAAGAAACAAAATGGCACTCTTAGTCCTGTTGCCATGACAACAGTTTTGCCACTCATCATCAGTCCTCATCGCACCATTGGACGCATAAGGCCCTCACAGTCTCTCTCCAGCGCGAACGATGGGAGTTAAGACAATATTGGAACTGCGTCTGTTCCAAGCAGGACCCTTTGTCTCACTTTAGAGGTGCAAATGGGGATATTTGTTTTTTTAACAGAAAGAGACTGGAGCCGAAAGAGTTGTTATGGCAACCACATTAAGGGTGTCATTTTGTTTTTTTTGTGATGCACATTTGTGGTGCCAAGTTTCAAGAACCCTGCTTCAATATTTCTACAGATATTGTTTATTCAGTATTTTACCATTTTTTAGTTGCAAACAATATGACATCATCACTACTCTAATTTGCATAATAGAAAAACGTCAATATCTCTAAGACGAAAAACCATATTTCAAAAAGAAAAACACCATTTTTCAGTATTTTGAAAGGCCTTTCTAGCAAGCAGAAACTATTTGTCATGTCATAAACACTTAAAAGAAGAAAGATAAACAATAAACAAATTATTGCTTCTTTCAAAACTACACCTGTACAGTACATGTGAATCCGTACATGCAAATATAAGCTTACGGCATAGGTAATAAATTAGCTACTAACTATTATATAATATCCATTTGAGCGAAAAGTACAATGTGCAACTTACTGATTTTGGGTGATCGTTCGTTCGTCCATCTGCATATTGTCTGAGATTGTCTGAAGACAGTTGTTGATCTGACTCCAGGCTGGAGTTGAAGTCCAAAAGCCTTCGATTTCCGCCATGAATGTTCACGACACTATAGCGATCCGGCGGGGGTACGTTACCTGTTGGTTGTGGCCGGAAATACCACAGAGCCCCTTGCAATGACAGGAGGGAAATAGTCAAGACAGCAGTCCCAGCAACTTTCAATGGCGATGACGGCATCGGCATCTTGCGAACTCTCTCCTTTGTGGCAAATTAAAACGGAGAGGTTTCGACAATGATCAATCAAAGATTGTTTCACTTTCATAGAAGCAGCTATAAATGACAAGATGATTCGGATTTCACTTAACTACAAATTTCGTGAGTATCACATGCAACCGATTCGGAAGACGCGCTCAACAGAACACACAGTTGTGGACTGGAACGAGTGGATGATGAAATAATAGAAGGGTGGGGAGCGTGGGATCGCAATTCGCTCCACTTGCAAGACCACAGGTTATCCATTCATTTTGTTTGTAAAATTTAGCATCCTGTAAGGGTCATGTTGTCTGATGGCGCAAATTCAACGCGTCCTCCCCCTCCCTGTAACTCCGGATTCGCCTATGCTAGTTTAGGGCGAGAGGCTAGGGAGGAAGTGAGGAATAGCAAGGAAGAACATGAAGAGGGAGGAGAGGGACCGGGGTTTAGGCCAATTGCTTCCAGCTTGAATGTTGTTCACAGGATGTCCTTATTTTTTATTATCATCACGTTTTCTCTCGCTTGTTCAACGCATTTCATTACTGAAAGTGAAGAATGATCATCGCAGTAAATTTTCCAATTTAAAGTGCACCTAACCCCAAAATTTTTTTTTCGCTTAAACGAATCTACTTGTTATTTGAAATAGTTCTG